CAATCTTCAGACATATCAAAACAGGAAAGAAGAAAGAAACTTTCATGCTAGAAATGGACTGGTATCTGTGTTTGTTTTCTTCTGCTGTTGTCATTTTCAGGAATAGAAACTTTATTCCTGTAGCTTTTTGAAGATAAAAAAGTGCTAAGCAATGCAACAGATATTAGTTACAAACTTTATAAGAATTGTATAAATAAAGAACAGTGCACAATTGTTTCCACTCTGAAGCATTGCCCTATCTCCTTACAACAAACAACCAACCCTGTGTTTCTTCTGAGTGTTAGACAAAGACAAGGAAAACAAAGGACTATTTATAACCTAAAAGTGCTTATATAATTTCTGTTGAAAGGTCAAAAAATACCTCCTGCATTTAATTTTAGATCCATCTTGGTCTCATCTGGTTTTACACTTGAACATTTCGATTTCACTACATAAAATATGGACCTATTGTAGATATCCTCCTTGGCTAACAGAGGCGTGGATTTCCATAACATTTTCCATCAGACTTTTTTGCAAGAGTATTTTGCAGGCACTCACTCAGAGTTGTTAAATTATTTGGTGGCAAATTAATATTAGGTTCTTTTACAAAGCAAGAAAATTGCCAGCGGAAATTTAGTGACTTGCCCAAAGTTAACACAGGAAAGTTGGTAGCAAATCTGAGACTAGAATATCTGTTCATTCTGTGCTACAAAGACGATACTGCATTTCCTTTCCAGAAATCTTGTAAAATTCCACAAAAGGTTCATTTATGTTTTTCTTGTAATAAACTTGGGCCCAGAAGTAGGTAATCATCAGTCGGTTTTGCTGAACAAATATTTGGAATAGATCAAATTCAGGATATATTTCCAACCAATTACAAGTTGGAAAAAAGTTTTCTTGAAGCATGGAAAATATATAAGAATTATAAGAGAATTCAGAGATCTGAAATACTTGCAGTGCTGACAATGTAGGTTTAGAATTTTACAATTTTTAAAATGTTTTGTATCTAATATTAAATGATGTTCTACCAAAAAATAGCAAAATATCTTGAACAAAATGGAAAATATGTAGACACAAGAATGAGAAATCAGGCTCTTCCATGAAGCTTGGCCTCATTTCAGAACAGACTGGTGGCTTTAGAACAATGCCAAACACCAGCTTGCAGCCTATGGATTGAATCTGTGGCACATGGCTCATAGCAGGTCCATGGAAACCACTCCATCTGCACCTGAAATTCGAATGGTAAGAGTTGTAGTCCATGAACAATTCATGGAAATCCATAGACAATGTGGAGAGTCTAAAACCAAAAAATCAACCCAACTTTAGAATCACTATTCTTCTTTAAGACTGTCATCTTCAAAGCAACACCTACCCAGCATTTTCAAATTATCTGAGAAATTATTCCTTGATTCAAAATACTGTAAAACTTCATGTTTTGGTGACAGTATGACTTGTCAGCATTCTAAAGATAAAGTATGGAAATAAAACTGCATTAAATTGATCCCCAAATCTTGCTTACCTTTTGCTATTTTTTTACTAGTTGGCAAGTAGAGAATATCATCACTTAATTTTTCTCAGAAATTACTACCCTACAGAAGAAAACAAAACACATTTACATCTGACATCATCTTTTCTTGGCCAGACACCAGATCTGAAAGCCCAAAGAGAGCAGAATAAGACAGAGGCAAGTACATTGATGTCAAGGTACCAAAAGCTGACTGAGTAGATACAAAGGGTCTAAGAGTTCTCTAGTGCAAGCCATTAAATTCTATCCTATGAAGAAGCTGCTAAAGCCTCTGCAGCCAGTCCAATGTTGATAATGGCCCGGAGCTGTGATTATCTCATTATATATATCTTTCTCCTGCCGTTTTCCTTCTGCTTGAGTTTCAAATACACTGTGTTAAGAGCTTGGAACAGTGACAATAAGAGAACTTCAGTGTATTGCTTCATCAGTTTAAATAATATTAACCTTCCCCACACTCAGTACTCAAGTAAAAATATTCCCACCTTTCCAGAAAGAAGAATCTTGAAGAATGGTGTCTTCATCAGGTATATTATTCAGCAAGAGAGCTCACTAACAAACTTTACTGGCATTTTTCTTACTTATGCAAAATGTGCTTTCAGGTGGAAAAACACTATTTAAATTCTAATCATACATATCAACTGGAAAGAGATAACCAAAAATTTTAACCATGGAAGTAATTTACCAAACAAAAAGAGATTCACTGAGCAAAAATAACAGAAAATTGAAGTTTTTTACAGAAATATATTGGTATTTCTGCCTCTGAAAAGGAAATAATGATTCTGGCTTGCCTTTCTCTTTTCCAAAGATTTTATTTATTAGTTTTATTCTATTTTACAGGCTCCAATTTTAACTCACAAGCATTCTGAGGACAAAAAAAATATAAAACAAACAAAAAACAAACAAGCAAAAAAACCCCCAAAAAAACCCAAAGGGCAGATAAGCAGTAAGTGGCATTTAGTCTATTTTCAGTATGAATTTAAAATAATCTTTACATTTTATTAAATTATGCCTAAATTAAATTACACTTATTACATTACACTAGATCTCAAAGTTTTAACCAAATCACATGCATACACACACACACACACACACACACACATATATATATATATATATGTAGGACTATTAAATTCTAAGATTTGAAACCTGACAATTATTTAATGCTACTAAATACTAATACTACTTTGCAGGTAATCCAACTGTAAAGACTGATGGTTTACAATGAGATTTTACTTAATTGATTTTCCTTCATATCAGTGTGGAGAAAGTAAAATTGAAGTGAAACATTTATGACAATTGCACATTGTGGTAAACTCCTGATGTTGTTAAATGACTGTTTTCTAGAGTCTTTCTTCTGTGAGAAGCATCAAAGCAGTGACTTTGAGACTTAATTCTTGCATGTGACAAAGACAGACTTGGCTAGTTAGAGCACCGCTCTTCAAGATTTGAACAAGTTAGTTCAGCTCACCTAACTCCTTAAAAAGCTCAACACTAATCTAGAAAATAACCAAGACACCCTGCTGCCACTTAATAAATTTTAAAATGTCCCCATGATAACTGGATTTCCTACAAAGTCTGCTCATGACCAGGCCTGTATTTCTCCCAGTTAATGAGTGATCCAGGGTAATCTTAAAATTAACCTGTACTCAGATCTACCAATATCATGGTTTTTCCCTCAAGTCCGCAAAGTACTCACATTGTAGGCAGACTCAGTGCCCAGCTGAGAAGTTCATTCAGATAAAAGTTACATCCCACACGCACAGAAACAGCAGATCTGCCTGCAGCCTTGTAGGCAGCAGCTTAGTGGTTACAGCACTTTTCCAGGATGGAAGAACTAACCTGCAAGTAAAGAGGCTCACATCCAGATCTGATCCTTGCAGTAATTTATTAAAGGGCAGTTATTTTATTCTATAGAGAGGGGTTGGAAAAGGACAGATAGGTTAGGTAGACTCTGCATGTCTTCTCTTGAAGTTGTGATACTATCAGACACAGTTAGTTTCATGGAGCCAGAGAGAAGGCAAAACAATACAAACTTTGTATGGAGAAAACAGAAGAAAGCTTGTGAGGGTCAAGAAAAAGGTGTAGGATTATGTGAATTATTGAAATGCTCAGCTGGGATGGATACTGGGATGGTTGCTGAGGATTGCTGGTTTTCTGTGTAACAGAAGTGCCAATTTACATTCTGTACTGGAAAAGAAGAAACCAAACTTAACATAAATCCCACTGGCACAAGTGCTAAAAATTTAAAGGTTGAATGCCACTTCATCTTTTTGAATACATTCCATAAAATTACTGATGTGACTTAGATGTCTGACTGTAGAAAATAGTCATTGCAAGAAGCCCACTTGAAATAACTTAAAACTACATGTCTCAAAATTTCTCTCCAGAGACAGATTTGCCTAGAGACATAAGAGAAGTTTTGAATCTTGATGTACAGACAATGAACTGTCAGAGGGTTGTGACAATCTGCAACAATGTTTTGAGTGTCAAGTAGACAGAAGAGGCAACTAGAAGTGGTAGGAAACAATTTCTAGAATCATCCCTTGATTGCAACTACGTGACTATTTCTTTCAGGCTGCATAATATTGGTTTAGCTCTGTTGAAAGTAATTTAAATACAGGGTTAAGATTAGGGATAGCGGGCCAACTCGTTATTTCCACACACTTTACAGGTACTGTGCAGGTAATAATTCTGCATGAGCCAGGAAATATTGTTTCTCGCTGAGAAAGGAAGGTATGAATTATCAGCAACATACACACCTATTTGAGAAGCAGGGACTTCCATTCAATTCAGTTTGGACAATGCTCTTAGGCACAGGCTGTGATTCTTGGGGTGTCCTGTGCAAGGCCAAGGGTTGGACTCGAAGATCCCGATGGGTCCCTTCCTGCTCAGTATATTTTATGATACATTGTGATTCCTATCTACCAGCTTTGCTGAGCAACACACAAAGTCTTTGTGCTACAAACTGTTAATTCCCCGTTTATTCTGATCTGCTCACTCCAAAAGCTCTTAGCAGCATCCCCGGACAGGCAGCCCGTTCATGCGGGCAGCGCAGCAGCAGCGCTCCGCACGCACGCTGAGCTGGCCCTCGGGGCAGCCCGGGCGCCGCCGCGCTCCCCCGGCGCGCATCCTCACACACAGCTCCTAAACCGGGCTTAGGCAGGAGTTTAGACAGAGATCAGCGGCATTTAGTGCCTCCAAACCGCTACACAGCTGCCACTTCGCACCGAAGCCACTTTTGTTTCCCGGCGTTAAACATCTCGGGGCCCCCAGAACTCGGCCTGAGCAGGAATGGACGAGCACGTCCCCGCGAAAGCCTTGACCTGACCCGCAGGAGCGGCTGCAGGAAGCGCGGCTGCAGGAAGCACGGCTGAGAGCCCAGCCCGGCCCCTCAGTGCCGCCCGGCCCTGGGGCAGCCCCGGCGCTCTCTGCCTCAGCGCGGCTCCGCCGTCCACCCGCGCGGGGTCACGCGCGCTGTTCTCGCCAATAGGCAGCGGCGGCTGGAGCGCGTGGGTCTCGCGGGAGCGCGGGGCGGTATTTAATGGCCGGCGAGGCGCCGCTCTGCCTTTCTGTTCGCCGGCCGAGGGCGCGGTAAGCTGCCTGCGTCCGCTCTCAGGGGAAACCGGCCGCGCTCCACACGGACAGGCCCTGGAACTGGGGGTGGTACCTATGTGGATTTCCCTTCACATCTTGCCCTCTCGGAGCTTGGCGGTGCTCCGGGGAGTCAACACAGGGGGATAGAGCAGCTTTCCCTCACTAAAACCCAGTGCGGAGCCCTTCCCTCCGCCCTGCATCCTGTCGTGAGGCACAAATGGTCCGTCCCTCCATGCCCCCGTCACGGTGCCCTTGCTGCCCGGCTGATGCCTGTTTCCCTCCGCAGTGTGTCCGAGGTGCCGCCGATGGGCGGGAGGCCGAGCGCGGCAGGCCGGGGCAGGCGGGAGCGCTGGCGATCCATGGGTGAGGGGCACACCGACATCATCACCCCTCCTACAGCCTGGGGCTGGTAAGAAATGCTTCGGGCTTCAGAAGTGGAGGGCTTTGAATCTCCAGATTTTTAAAAGACAAACATACCTATCAGGTGCTGCCCTGTGTCTCTGAGCCGAACTGTCTACGTTTGCGCTCTCCCATTCTTTAACCCGGAGCTATTGAGCTGCACAGGCCTTAAATCTAGTTTTTTTATAGGACACATTAAGAAAACTGCAATTATAACCTGTGATGTTTAGGCTGTAGGCACTTAGGACTTGGGCTCAAATGGCCTTAATAACCGTTCAAACAAAGAAAAAACCCTCTGTCTTGAGCTTTCCCTGCGGTCTTCTACTCCGCTTGTAAGTGTCCTTTGTCTCTTGCTTCAGTGCTGTATAATTTGTAACAAGGTCCATAGCTATTTGTGAGTAGACACAAGGTATCAATGAGTTGTCAGGGAAAGATTCAGTCAAATCTACAGGTTTACAGCTTACCTCGGTAGTGTCAGCACTAAAAGGAATTCAGGCTTAATAAACTTTCCATTGTTTATGATTAATGTTTTATTTTACAAGATGTTAAAAATATGTTCTCTGTAGTTTAACTGGGCTAATGAACATGACTTACCATCAGATTGAACCACTAATTACCTTTCACTCTAGGTTTTGATTTGAAAATAAACTTCTTGTAAATGACTTCTGCAACTCCATGGAAAATTACTTTTGAAATGTTTAACAACACAGTAGCAACTTTGTAGAATAAAATTTAGTTTAAAATTCTAGCTTTAGTTAAACAGTACTGATTATAGTTTTCCAACTTTTTGTGTGTTTAGAGGCCTCACATAGCAACCTCATGCTTGCAATGTTTTAGACATGGATAATCACACCTAAATGTGAAGCAGTACTTGGGACTTCTTAGGACTAAATAATGCCTTCTAATGGAAGGTAAGTGTGCTGTCGTCTAATGACAATTGTCAATCATTTTTAATATTGCTCTTTAATAATTTACAAATTTCAAGCAAATTGTAGTATCTCTTGTTGATAAGAAAACAATATACTAAAATCTACTCCCCTTTTATGCTTTGCCCTCTTAAGTCTGGCAGTGTCTTAAGTGGCCAATACTGAGGGGAATAAAAGTTCTCTCGCAAACCCAGAGGTGAGGTTGAAACTCTTCTTTGGATTGTGCTTAGGAGGAACACATTTGTATAATTGCTGAACTTCAGGAAACTGCTGAATCAACTTTATTAATAGTTTGTAGGAAGATTTTGAACTGTCTTGTTATGATATCTCAGTCTTAATATCACAGGTTTCTCAAATCTTTTTGCTTTGTAAACCTGATGAATGTCTTAAGAGTTTCTTGTAAATCATTTTAGTCTCCAGGTATGTAATTGTGAAAAAGATTATCAGATAATAGTGAATGCATTCTGTTCCTGAAGGAGTTTAATTTACTCCTTGCTGGAAAACAAAGCAAAATAGCTTTGGTAAAAAAAAAAAAAAAAAAAAAAAAAAAAAAAAAAAAAAAAAAAAAAAAAAAAAAAAAAAAAAAAAAAAAAAAAAAAAAAAAAAAAAAAAAAAAAAAAAAAAAAAAAANAAAAAAAAAAAAAAAAAAAAAAAAAAAAAAAAAAAAAAAAAAAAAAAAAAAAAAAAAAAAAAACAAAACCAAAAAAAAAAATCAAAGGAAAGCCAGTGATAGTTACTGGATCTGTTTATTCTAATATAGCTGGTCCTCTGGAATGGAATCCATACTAATGGTATAGGAAAGGAAAATCCCATCCTCTACAAAGTAATTTCTTTTGAGAAATGGCTCTGGCCTAAGGTTAGTATCTTGTAGAAGGTTCATGTAGCTCAACCTTAGAACAGTTATCTGTTTTTTGTGTGCATAATGCTGACTGCAATTTAAATAGAACTTCTTTTACAGGAATGAAGACAATGTGTGTCAGGAACTGACATTAAACATCAGTTTTATGATTTCCTGAGTGGGTGATTTCTGACTTCATACAAGATGATTCCAGTTGTCATCTCGAAGTATTGTCTTGGAAGTAGAATTGAGACAAGCAATGGCTTAAATTATGTGTTCAATGATGATGTTGAAACAGGCATCTCACCATTTGTTGAAACAGGTTTCCTAGCAAAAACTGCTGTAATTTGACTATTTGTGGATTAATTGAAATAAATTATGAGTATTAATTAAAAGTATGCTCCTAAATTTTGTGTTCTGAAGGTTTCTTGTTAAGGTACTTTCTGTATGAAGACTTTGTTTCGTGGATGTAAACACTTTTGTTGTCACACAGAAACATTCTCTTGCCATGTTCAGACTTGACAAGCTAGTCTTAAATTTACAATTCCATTGAAAAAACACTGAATATTTTTAAGTATTTTGTAATGCAAAAGCACTGAGATCAATCAGCTAATTGTTATTTCAGTACACTGTATGTGTTCTCTACAAAAGCATTGTCTCAAACTGTAAAGAACAAGTTACCAAGAATCTCATTCCTTGCCTATTTTAAATTAAGAAGGTAAAGGTTGCAATATTCCATGTAAAGCACTATAAGTGAGGAGGTCCTTGAAAAGCTAGATTATTGTTGAGCAATTAAAAGGTTATATATGCTTTTCAGTAGCTTATGTCTTAATATTGGAAATGTTTTTCTTAATGGTGGGTCTTAATTTTGTGCATCCTATTACTGCCAGTGCTTCTATAGAATGTACAAGCAAGGATATGAAATAGTCAGAAATGGCTGTCAGGTGCTCACCACTGCCTACTTAGGAGAGTGAGTTGGTGTGGATTTAGGAACAAAATATGTGTGTATTTGCCCATAGATGGTCATATTTAATTGCCATCTAGACAGGAACTTTTTTTTTACCTTTGCTTAAATATACACTAAAAGGGATTAGTAATAGCCTACTTAAGGCCTTTTAGGCTCACCGAAGTCTGCTTGTTTTAAGAAGAGGCAAAATTAAATTTGAAGGATATACAGAAGTACTTCATGATATTAAACTTGACAAGTGTCAATTTCCTCTTGTAAGAAACTATAATTTCTTAAAGTCTTGACAGTTCTATAGACATTTGTCTTCTGTAGCCATGCTTAAGGATTAGTTTTTAGTCTGTTCAGTTGTGTTATGGGGTTGTTCTATGTCTGCCCTGTGCAGTTTTCTGATTTGCCTCTCAGCTTCAATGTTAATTGGTGATGTCTAGTAAAGACTGATTCCTGAATATTTATTCCTGTTTTCCTTAACCTGTAAACTTGTTTCCCTTGATAATATGGCATGATCTTTGTAGTGAGCTGTCTATACTTGCAGAATTTCTGAAGGGAGTCAGGAGTTATCTTAGAATTAGGGTTGGCATTTTTCTTTCCAGATTAATTTTTCATGCAATAAATGGCATTAAATTCCACATGCTGCTCTGTCCACAAGGATCTTGTCAGAATCAAGGTCTGTTGGGGTCTGTAGCCAGGCTTTTTGTTTCATTGCTATCCAGTTTCCACTTTCCCCTCCCCCCTTCCTTAAAAAGAGGTGTGTCTTAAGTTTCAAGCAGTTTAATGTAAAAGTGTTCTAGGATCTACCTCTTTCTATTACTGACAACTAAAGTTTTGTGTCAGTATGTCTGATGCAGAAGATAAATTTTTCACATTAGTGGCTTACACAGTATATTTGCACTATGGTATAAAAGCTTCCAAATAGAATCACTGTTAATGAAATCATAATTGGCTGCTGCTTTTGATGAAATACCCACATGCCACTAAGTGACAATGCTGCATGCAAGGTCTAGCCTTTGCTGTTCTCTTTTTATGAGACATCTGCTTAGAGAGGCCACTAGACATGATCCACTATTCTGATATCACAGAGCAAAATCAAATTGAGTGGGTTTAGTACATCTACAGAGGGAGATCAAGAATGAAATAAAGTCTACTTGAAACTCCATGAACACCTAAAGTTTCACCAATCTTGTTCTTTAAATAACTAGGCAATTTTAAAGCATTATTCTTTAAAACCTGATCTGGTTTAATGCAAAATCCAAGTAGAGATTATATTTTTGACTTCTTTAAAGTATCAAATTATTTCATGTATTTATAAACCTTATATATTTTTACATATAGCTATTTGTTATAATTAAGTTGGGGCCATTGCTTTATGCTGGAAGCTCATTTTGAAGAAACACTTGTTGGAATAAGTCACTTTAGAGTACTTTTTGCTGTGACTTCTCATGAGTATATTTAAGAAATGTCTCCTCAGTTAACTTTGGCTTGATCCTATTCCATCTACAGGCTTTTGGGAGTATAAATATGTCAGTTCAGGCATTGCTCACCTGACTACATTTATGATATATCACATTAAAGCAGTGAAGCAAAACAAAGGGATTAGTATTAATCTAGGTGAATGAAGTGGGTCTAAATCCTGTAACTTCATTGGTGTAAAGGAGCTCGTTCACCCTGACCCCCACCTTGGGGGACTGTGCTTGGGGCTGTGCAGTTCACCAAGAAACCTGGTTTGTTTGATGAATGCTATGCTCTAAATGGAGTGATAACATTACAATTGTCCCTTTTGTTACTTTTTGGACAAGTGAAGACTAATAGAAGAAAAATAGCCAGATTTACTTGAGAATTGTCAAGGGCTACCAAGTTGGCTTACAGCCTTGTTATAGGGTAAATTACATGAAACCATACAAGACATGAAACCATGTATAAAACTCAGTCGCTTTATACATTTTTATATGTATGCTTTGTACAACAGGGATTATATGAGAGATTTGAGGGCAATAAATAACAGGGAAATAATATAATTTTTAATCTGTACACTTTTTGTTCTGGCTATTGATAGCAAATGTAGCTATTGTAGCAAATGTAGATGCTTTGGGTTTTCTTTGACTAAATCTGATGTAAGGTTAATCTGTTCATCAAGATGGAAGACTGTCAAACAAAAGGGGGAATATATACATACCTATGTGTTTATTCCTGTTCTCACACACACTTGAAAATCACGATATTTCCTATTTTGCTTCCTTTTGGTAATTGATTAGTTACAATTGATGAGACAATAATCAAAGGAATGAAAAAAAAACAACAATCTGAATAATGTCATTGTGGAATAATGTGCATAGCCTTGGACAGTTTTCCATACACGGAGCTACACGAAGCGATATTGTTATATTCTGTGCAAGGATCTGGCAAGTCATAAAAATGTGCTTTTTTGTTTGATTTGTTGTTATTTTTGTTTGGTTTTGGGGGTTTTTTGTTATGTTTTGTTTTCTTGGGAGACCACCTTGAAAGTCTGGTACTCTGCAAGAATTTTAGTTCTGAGGAGCTTGTCAATATCAGAGCTTGTGTGTTTTCTGCTTAGTAATAGAAATTTGTGATCTTGGGGGTTTGTAGTGCATTGTTTTGAATAATCTAAAGTTTGTATGCAGGTATTAATTCATCCTAGAATAAACTTTATGACTCTTTGTGGCCTTATATTAGGAAGTCAGCCTAAGTGATATTCAGTGGGAAGTTTGGAGGTAATACTCAAGTAACAATGGCTACTGGCTGTCCTAGCTATTATTCTGAATTGATGGTTAGTTGACTGCATCTTCTTTACTTTTCTTCATAATGTTACAGTTGTATCCAAGATCCTTCAGTTCATGCAAAGAGGGTGAGAATGTCGGCTGAATGCACTTGAATCGAAGAAACAATGTGTATGCATCCCCTGCATTCTGGTTTGGATCAATGCAGGCAGACATTTCTTACCACACTAGAGTCCTTTTTCTGCTTGTTACATCTCAGACCTATATAAACCACATTTTCTTAAAACTTTCTGCTTTGGGTTTCAGATGCAAGTCTCATTGGATTTTTCCACACATCAATACTTTTGCTTACCTTGGTAAAGTGGCCTGGAATTTGTTCCTGGAGAGGACTTTTTCTGTTCAGTGGACTTTGATTTAAAGCTCAGAGATTTCCTCCTATGCTTTGATAATTAACTTCCACAGCTTTGACTCAATGCATAAATAATGAATACTGTAAAACTGACAATACTCATATTTTTTCAGTTTAAAAAAGTATAGAAGCTGTCAACAATGACTTGCTGTCTTCAGATTGCACTGTATATGTTTATTGTAAGACACAAAGTTATTTAATTGATCACACATTCTAATAAATATATTTCAACAAATACTTTATTAAATGTACGAGCAGGAGTAACTGGAAATAAGCAGAGGTCTAGAAACAGCAGTGTGCATAAAACCAGGGAAAGAAAAAATGCTAGGAGTTCCTGCTTTTAGCATTGCTTGGGTTTGGAGACAACAGGTCATGCAGAGCTCTAATTTATTTAACATGGTAGTAAGTGAGGTAATTTTATTTCTTTCTCAGTAGTCTATTGTGCACTAAAGCAGAAATGGTATGTGGCCTATGAATCAGCGTGCTTTTCAGACTTTCTACTTCTAAGCAAAGACTCCCAGCTCAGAAAATGAAAGAAAATCGATAGCTCTGCAGAAAAAAAAATCTTAGCAAGCTACTCAAACAGATTGCCAACTGTAATGTTCTCAGGATTTTAGTAATGGATCCTATTAGGATCATCACTTCAGGATTTTGTTCCTCTGAAGTGTAAACAGAACATACACACAACATACTTCACTGGTAAACTGACTAGAAGAAATAAAAGCCAACTACAGCATAGAGAAGGATGCAGTTTGTTTCCAGAAATAATGTGTTCTCTTCCACCTACCCAGACTGAACGTACTGATTTCAGGTCAAGTGTGCCACAAGCTTTTTGGAGTTGCTGGTATGCCCTGACATACCATGACTTTTTTCTGCATATTTCTGTAATTAAGTTAGCTTATACATTAAATATTGTGTAGTTTACAATTTTATGAACTCTTTTCTTGAACTTCTTGCTCATTTTCTTTGGAAATTGCTAGGGAAAAGAAAGCATCCAAAGAATTCATCATAAAGCCTTGAGAATTTGAGTGTGTATTTATGCTGTTAGAGAGGGGCTGATGGTCTTCCTTTTGACTAGAATTATGACAACTGGATGCAGATTCAGTTATCAGATGAGAGCTCTCCATATTTGGATAGAGTTTAGGTATGAAATAAAACAGTGAAGAAAAATTGTGAATATATTATTCACCCTCCTGAATGTACCATGTATTTGAAACTGCTTCACAACACTCAATTATTGTGCTGCTGGCACTTCAGGAACTGTAAGCAGAACCAGCAGTTGTTATGAAGTTAGTAACAGCTTCCTGACCCTTGGGTAGAACCTGATTTATGAGGAAGAAAATATAGATAGGGAACATCCATTGTTTAGTGGTGTGGGGTTTTTAAGAAAATCGTTGTATTTTCTTATTAAATGAAGATGTCATTCCATGTAAACTGTAACATGATGGAAGAGCTGTTCTCTCAATTATAATTTGAAAAGGCTGCTAGAATCTAACTTGAAATCTTCCAAAAAATAAGGTATGCACACTTAGTTGGAGGTCACTAGGATCTGTAAGAGAACTAGCACAAATGTAGAGCAGATCTTCAGTCACTTACACCAAAATTCAATTAAATCCTGCATGTTTACTTCAGCAGAGTCAGGCCACCCAGCCTCTCTACAAGCCTTAGTTATCTTTCTGGGGTTTTCATAACCTAATGTCTAAGATTTGGGGTTCTGTCCTCAGTCTTGGCCTTTTCTTATCTCAGTAGCTCACCTCACCATTCCTGCTCAGTGCTGTGCTGCCAGGTGCACGGGTCTGGGTTTATATAAAGTTGAGTTATTTATACAATTGTTTACTAATATTCATGCTGTTAACCTGAACTCATCTTTGATCTTGTTCAGCAAGGTGTCATAAGTTTCTAGCTTGACTCACACAGCTTCTCATATATTAACTTTGTGCTTCACTTTAAGAATTATAATCTTTATTCTTCCATGTAGTTGATCCATCCTTCCATTATGACTTCTGCACTTCAATTGTAAATTATTTCCATTACACTAATTTTTGTTTTTGTTCAGAGTAATTGCATTACCAGTGAGTCTACCTTAGGAAGGTTATTTAATGTCATGCATGTTTATGTGAGCACAAAAAGAAAAAATGCCTTGCAATTTGTAATCAGATTCATTAAAGCAGTTATAGACTGTATTTAAGTGTCTTTGTTTTTATTCAGTTGGATTGTTCGATAGTTTATATATGTTTTTATTGTCTTGAGATTTGAGAACAAGTTGGACCACTTGAGAGGGTCTCACATAAAATTCAGTAGTACAAAATGCTGTTGCCATTTTCTTGTGGAAAATAAATGAGAACTGAAAATTTCATGTATGGAAAAGGGGGTAGAGAGAAATTGTTTTCCCTTCCAAGTAAATTATTTCCACTTGTCAGACTGCACAGCTCCAAGTAAGAATATCATGTGGATCATCTGTTTTCTTATATCCCCAGCTGCCTTT